TACTCATACATGCTGGCAATCCTTCTCTTCAGTCATTTCCTGCTCAGATTTACTTTGAAGGAGGCCTTAAGTCTTCTGATGTGCTTAAAAGCTTAATTAATCACGACTACCACAATATACAAATAAAGAAAAGAAAAATTGCCTTCTGAAGCTGTGGAATAATTTTATCCTTCAAAGACTGCTTTCATTAGATATCTTAAAAGCACCATAAGGTAAACATATGACATGAAACTTTTTGAGGTTTGGTTATATCTTTTTGGGTACTTCCAATATTTTGAAAAAGTCATTTCTGAGGTGTGACTTAATTTATCTTCATAACTGCCATTTATTAGAATACTTATAAATAAACACATAAAGTTTGCTTTACTGATTTCCACTGGCTGTGTACACAGGGGGAAAAAAGTGTATTCCCTCTGGCACACAAACAGTAACCACAGAGCTAGAGAAACCAAGCAAATCACATGAACTGAGCAGACAAACTGATGGGCAAGGGAGAAATGAGGAGGGTAAAAGTTCACATTTCTTTCCATTCCTGATAGATTAAATGAATGTGCAGAATAAGTACAATGGTCAGTATAAACTGGGCCAAGCCTTTGCTGTATCATCACTCTCTATAGCTGGGGTCCCCACCCTGGGCTGTGGACCAGCACTGGAACTGGGCTGCAAAAGCCAGTGATGCCCCATCCACACACCCATGGGATCCAGTCAGTGCACAAAACCATATCATCCCCCACCCCCAGTCCGTGGAAGAACCACCCTCCACAATACGGGTTTTTGGTGCCCAAAAGGTTGTGGGCCACTGCTCTATAGGAAATGGATTAGCTCTGATATCCCTATCCTTAGGAGAAATCTGCTTTCAATAAGCATAACTATTTTTTACTTATGTATCATATATTCCTTAGGTGCCAGCAGCACTTTATTGCATGATTCACTGTTTTACTTTAAACTGAGATTTTTTTTTCTTTTGTACATTTAGAATCTGATCGATAAAATTTATTGCAGGCTTGTAAAATTTTAGAGTTGGAAGTGTATTGCTTCTTTTGGCATGCTACTGAAGAAATAACACAATGTTCCTGCCTTAATATAGAAAGGGCTGTCTAAAAGCTGGCCTCCCGTGCCCAGAGAGGGATTGCTGTCCAAGGTTACTGCAGCTTCCTCTTATGCAAGTCACTGCCAGTGGATATCTTGATTGCAGTGAGATGGGAAGATTGGATATATTACTGGTACAAAAGGAGGGTTTTGCATAGAGTGATCTCTGAATGTCTTCTATCTCTTTTGATATTCTTCTCTGAATATCAAAATAACTTTGGGAAAATTATATTGTTCCTTTTCAATAGACTTCATTAAACAGGCTTTGATTATCAGCTTGCTGCAGGAATGACTCGTATATCATTTTTTTTCCAAAACCATAAGACCTTATTAGGAACTTCATGGGATCATGAAGTACTGATATTCATGATAAGAGTGTGATGGTGTACCAACTTTTTTCTTGTGTAAAAATGTATCTCAATAGCAAACATCAAAATCATGGGGAGTGTCTCAATTTGGGATAAGTTCTCAACAGCACTACTCCCATTAGTGTAAGTGGAAATGACATCTACATTATATTCAATCCACTGACTGCTAAAGGAAGTTTCTCTATTATTCTGGCTTCCAGATGTATCTTTATTAGGCCTTTGCTTGTGAGGAAGGTTCAGATGAAGTTGCTTCAGCCTGTTTGTACTCGTAGACTAGTAAGAATTGTTACTTAGCGGGATTACTACTGCTTCAACTCATATTCAAGCTAGGTTTGCTTTGTTCTTTTCTGTATATGAGTCTGCAAGTAATATTTTCACTGTTTAGGAATTACTTGTGTTAAAAGTAAATTCGTCTTTCCAAACTTAAAACAATAACTTGCCAGTGTGTACAGCATCAGCACTGCATGCATAGCATAATGGAAATGTTATTAGATGATCCCCAAAAAGATTAAGAAAAAGAAATGATGTTTTGCCTTAGGCTACATCTTGACTCAGCATGGCACAGGAGAAGATTTAAGTCTTTGGCATGTCTAACCTTTTTTTTAATCCATTGTATATTGCTGGGAGGCATGTCATTTCAGGCAGTGGTTTTATAAGACTCCAATTTTAACTATCTACGTAGTTCAGATAGGTACTGAGATGTTTATTGTCCTTCTTAAGAAGATGAAGGGAAAGACATTAATAACAAATAGAGACTGCAGAGGAAAGTATTTTTTTTCTTACAGCAACAGCAACAACAACAGCTCACTTATTTCAGAATGATTTGCTTCTATTACAAATTTGGAGAAAGAATCTGTCAACTGAGGCAGAGTGGTGGTTTCACTTAATTAGTCAGATAAAGTTAAATGCATGAAAATGTGCCTGTGCAAATAAAAATACAGCTGAGTCACATTAGAAGAAGGATATAACAGATTTGCTAGATTTATTAGCTTTTTGTCAAAAGATTTTATAATTCAGAATTTGTTGATGTTATGAACTCATACATGAAATAAAAGCATGTGTTTATATTTTTTACAAATGTTTTTTTAAAAAAACCTAATTATTTTGTTAAGTTATGACTTGCTTAGCTGTGGTTTGTTTCCTCAACCACAGATAATTCATAAACCATAGTTTTAAATCTGAAAGAACCAAGTTGAAACATTAGGCTAAACTCAGTGACAGAGTGTGAGCTCATTCTTTTACTCTGTAGTCTAGCAAAGGCTTTGGATATAGACTTATGATTTATGCCTTACATTAGTAAAGAGTATATGAGTATAATATCTGGCCCAATCGTTCAAAATTTGGCAATGGGTGGGCCTAATAGGCAGTGGTGGGATACAAATATGTGAACAACCAGTTCTCTGTGTGGATGCTGCTTCCGGAAGTCCATTCTGGGCCCGGGCAACAAAAAATTAGCTACCGGTTCTGCCGAACTGGTGCGAACTGCCTGAATCACACCACTGCTAATAGGGCAGTTGCCTCATATGACAGATACTGGGAGGTAACAACAAGATGCTTGAGAAGAGTTGGGCCCAAAGTTTTCAGAATAGTAGAAGATGTTACTAAATGTTCACTGTTGAATAATAGTTCTAGTGTACAAGGAATGAGTGTGGGGTGACATTCTTGTTTCAGGCAGTTATAAACTGTGGATGCAACATTACAGGGATTACTTCTGTTAAGCTACTGTTCAGCTTTATAAATATGAATTCTACTTCCTATTTTTCTCAGTGTCAAGTGGTAGATGGTAGTGCCAACAATTTTGTACAGTTGCCCCTGTTGTTAACAGCTTTGTGTTTTCTTATGCCTAACTCACATATCAGGGTTTTTTTAAAAAAACTCTATGCTCAGGAACATTTTTATATGGAAATAATGTTTAAATCACATTAGTCTTCAGATAATTAACGTTGAAAAGAGAATTGTAGTCCAAATAAGCATGTTGGTAAATGTTCATAGGGCAAATTAATTCAACCTCTTTAAAATTCATATATAAAAGTGCTCTGACTTCCTTAGATTTTTGCCATGGTTTGATTTACTTTTTGAGCTCAATAAGATATATTTTAATAAAATTAAGAGAAGGCTTTTTAGTTTACAAGAAATATTTGCCATGCTGATAGAGATAAAGGACAAATTGGAAATGAACATCTCATATACAATTATTTGAGGATTTTTTTTTTAAAAAAAAATTTCTCTGTTGGAAACTTCCAGTATCCTACATATTTTGCTTTCTAAAACTATATTTTAAAACTTCCGCTGATGGAGGAAATTTTTTGCAGCTGATTTTGTTTTAATACCACAAATGAGAAGACTATCTTTTTCCAGAAAGCTTGTTGAATCATCCATATAAACAATTCTTGGCTCCGAACTAATATTTCGCCAATGCTGGCTTGGACCTGAAGACTCAGCACAACTGCAAATGATTACATTACTCATTAACTGTTTATTACAAATCTCCTTTCTCTTCCCAGAAATAACTCAAGGATGTGTAAATGTAAGTCTGTATCAGATAATGCAGTACTTTCATCAGGGTTTGGTCCGATATTAATTTTGGTAAATTAGCAAAATTATATCCAACACAAAAATTTTCTGCTGTAGTACTGTAATAAAAAGGATACATATTATGTTTAGGATGCTCAAATTCTCTAAGAATGGACACATGCCACTTATTTGAGATCTTTATGGGACAAATGGACAGCAATTGGATTTTGTTATTGTAGACAGCATATGCCTGTTTATGTATTTGTTTTCCTTGTTTAATTTCCCAGATAAATTAGTTTTCACTGTTTTCGTCTTAGCATTTTTAAAGGGCAGTGTCATGGGGTAAAATAAAAAATGCTGACTTACTCTCTAAGAAGGGCACTTACTTTGATGTTCAGTCTTATTTTGTAGATTCTTTTACAGCAAAAGATATTATCAGGCTATCATTTGTAAAATCATACAATACCTAAACCATTTTTTTGGGTCAATCCACAGCTCTAGTCCCATATATAGTGACATAGCAGCAGAATGATATTTAAAAATTAGTTTTGCATTCTTTATGTATATCTCCCATTCTCAACTCTGTTTTGCCCTCATAATTTTGCCTCAGTTGTGTATTTGTGCATGTATCTCTATCTATAATGGTTTTCGGTTCAAAGCTGCAGTGGAAAAATAACACTTAAAAGAGGATTTTATATTGTATTTATCAGTCTCCACTCCAATCCATCTGTTTTACATTCATGAGTTTGAAGTTATTCACTTTTTTCTTACTGCGGGTTTAGGTCAGGGGTAGGCAACCTTGGCTCTTTTATGACTCGTGGACTTCAACTCCCAGAATTCCTGAGCCAGCCATGCTGGCTCAGGAATTCTGGAGTTGAAGTCCACGAGTCATAAAAGAGCCAAGGTTGCCTACCCCTAGTTTAGGTTCATTTACCACTACAGTAGATATAAACAGTGTAAACCAAGCTCCCCTTCAATGTCTGTGAACTTACTGTTTTATGCTGATTTGTTTTCCTTATCTACTTGCAGAGGAAGCTTCCAGTCCTCCTTCTTGGACGTTCAGCAGAGTTACGGCCTGGTGAATTTGTGGTTGCAATTGGAAGTCCATTTTCTCTCCAAAATACAGTGACTACTGGGATTGTTAGCACTACCCAGCGAGGGGGGAAAGAGCTGGGACTTAGAAACTCTGATATGGACTACATCCAAACAGATGCCATTATCAATGTAGGACATGTTTGATAAATATCTTACATTAAATGCATACTCTACTAAAAGCACATAGAACCCCTCCCTTTTCTAGTATGATTTTCTTTGTCTTTGCTTTTCATTCTAGTCTACAGCACTCTATTTTTTGTGACTTTTTGTCCCAATAATAACCACTTCTGACCCTGCGTAGCTTCTCAAGATTTGGTGAACAGGAAGACCTTTATTTGGCCTGTCACACTATTTTGTTGGGTCTCCGGTGTTCTGGCATACCTTTCAAATCAGTCACTTTTATTTTATTTTCCTGTTATTTAAGGTTCTTATTACTTGTGGGGTGCTAATCATTTTATGACTATGTGTATGTGTCATAGTTTAGAATGATTTATCATAGAGCAATATACTGATTATTGGCAATGCCGGAAAGATCTATTAAATCTCAGCTCATCTTTATATTTTGGATTAGTTATTTGGCATAAGGATTTTTGCAATTTTTCTACATTAATTAACTCCAAAATTATACTGTGTAATCTTCCCATTTATAATGACCCTGTATTTCCCAACTCTCAGTTTCATGTTTTTACCACATAATTTCTGAATGATCATAAGCAAAACATTGTCTTTCAAATAGAAGCAATACAAGGCAATATGTCTGGAAACACTTTATGTTACATTTATTCAATTTAAGTTTAACTATTTACTTCCCTGTAAGAAATGCTGTGAATAAGTAAGTGTTAACACCATTTCTAGAATTCATTAGGTAGCAAATATATTTCAAAACATAAAATATATTTCTAAATCCATGTAAATACAAGATGATTTTCTCCCTACATTTACAGTATGGGAATTCTGGAGGACCTTTGGTGAACCTGGTAAGTATTTTTTTACTTAATACTTTGAGGTTTGGGACTTTATAAAAAAAATAACATTCTTTTCCATATCCTCCACAAATAATAGATTTTGTATTTATTTAATCACTCATTTTTTATTCTATGTGTTTGGAGTTCAGCATTCAAACTTTTACTATGTACATATTTGAATGTGCATTGATTATTTTCTCCATTTTGTGACTGCAACATCTTCCTGCAAGTTGTCAGAAAAAAGATTAAGGATATTGTCATCCAGTTATACCCAAATTGGAGATAAAGCTAGATTTTATTTTGAAAGCAATATTCAGTTTCTAATTGAAAATCAGTTTAGAACTATAGATGCTGTATGACAAATAAATCATAGACAAGAGTACTAGTTCAATTTACAGAATAGGAATTGGAGGCTTTGTTTGAAGAGTTTATGCTTACTTAACTATTCACATTACTACAGGATGGGGAAGTGATTGGTATTAATACTCTGAAGGTCACTGCTGGAATCTCCTTTGCAATACCATCAGACAAAATTAAAAAATTCCTTACTGAATCACATGACCGGCAATCCAAAGGTATTGTACTGTGTTATGCAATAGGAAAAACAAAGGTAGATGTCAGTGGGCTTGAATTTTGAAAGATCAGTTTCTAAACTCTGTCCACTTAATAAGCCAGTAAGAAACCATATCACCTCTTCCTTATTAGTGTCCTGTTTTTTTATTGAACTATTTATGTGAGGTAGCATTAAGATATTATATCATTACTGTTTATTAGATGCACACATTAATATCATAGGTGCATTTTATAGCCTAGAATTGCTTTGATCGCTGTCATATAATGCTTTTTAGTAAGTCAGAGATAGAGTAGGCTAGATTACCAGCCCTAGTCATATCCTGACCACATGCAAGAGTGATCAGTTTTGATACATTTTGTTATGTTATAAATACCAATGAAGTTTAGATTTGTTTGCTTGTTTACTTAATGGTATTTATATATCCCAAGCATGGTCATACTATTCTATGCAAACTGGCTGTGTTTTATCTGAAGATGACTTTGAAAGTTACCATACCATTGCCTGCCTCCCATCAACTAGGGGCACCTGAAATGCAGTAATAATATAATGAAAATAAAGTGGCTATAAAAAAAAACAGAATGAGTAGATAATGATGATGATGATGATGATGATGATGATGATGATGATGATGATGATGATGATGATGATGATGATGATGATAAAGTTGGAAGGGACCTTGGAGGTCATCTAGTCCAACCCCCTGCTCAGGCAGGAAACCCTATACCATTTTGGACAAATGGCTGTCCAGTTTAGTGGACAGATAGTGGATGTAAGGAAAGAGAATATGAAATCTTCTTGGAACAGAGTAAAGGGAATTATATTACAGACTGCCTCAATTACATTTGAAAAATTATACATTGCGCAAAGATGAAATAAAAAGAGGGCTGGGGATGAGGAAAAACGCATGTAATGTTTACTGCAAAAATAAGGACAAGAAAGCACAATATATTATTGTATAAAGTGTACGTACAGATAGTCTTTGACTTACAAACACAATTGGGACCAGAATTTCTGTTGCTAAGCAAGGTGGTGGTTAAGTAAGTCGCACTCAGTTTTATGACTTTTTTTTGCCACTGTTAAGTAACTCACTGCAATTGTTAAGTGAATCACACAATCTAATGAATCCAGCTTCCCCCATGGACTTTGTCAGAAGCCAGCTGGGAAGGTTATAGATAGACATGAGGCCAGGAAAGTTGCAACCATCGTGAATAGATGCTGGTTGCCAAACACCCAAATTTTGATCACATGACTATGGGGATGTGATAAGTCACTTCTCTCAGTGTAGTTGTAACTTCAAATGATTACTAAACAAGTGGTTGTAAATTGAAAACTACCTGCAAGATGACACAATCAAGGTGATACAATACATTTCCTAACAGTTAGAACAATTAATTAGTGGAATGACTTGGCTCCAAAAGGTGTGGGTGCTCCAGCACTGGAGATTTTTAAGAAGAGATTGGCCAACCTTTTGCCTGAAATGGTATGGGGTTTCCTCCTTGGACTAGAACAGGGCTTTTCACCCATTCTACCACTTTTAGGATATGGCAATATCCGAGTACCACCAGTTGCCTAGCAAGGTGTCAAAAACTTGATGACCAAAAAAAAAAAAAAAAGGAAAAAAGTGATGAAGTACAGGTAGTCCTCGACTTACAACAGTTCGCTTAGTGACTGTTCAAAGTTACAACGGCACTGAAAAAAGTGCCCCCCAAGCCACAGCTGAGCAAGACACCTGCCTGCCCACCTGGCGGCGCTCTTCCTCCTGTCCGAGGTTTTCATTGTTGTGAGCATTTCTGTTGAGGATTGGCACTGGGGGTGGGGTGGGGGGGTGTTTTGTTTTTATTCCCCCCATATGCTGGGTGGTTGCAGCAGGTTTTGGTCACTTCACATGATCCTGGGACACTGACCGTCATAAATATGAATCAGTTGCCAAGCATTTGAATGTAAATCACAAGATCCTGGAGATGCTGCAACATTCCAGCTGATTGGTGCTTCTTCAGGGCTCACCAGGATCAGCGCCGAGCTCCAGCTGGAGCCTGGCGCTGATCCTGGCACTTCCACTGAGCCCTGACAGCCCTACAGCTCCAGCCATCTCTCGCTCAGGCGTGTGCGGTGCTGCCACCGGTTCAGCTCATTCCCCTCCCCCGCTACCACTTTTCTAGGATGGTCACGTACCACCTGCCAGGTGCCAGTGTACCACAGGTGGTACTCGTACCACTGGTTGAAAAGCCTTGGACTAGAAGACCTCCAAGGTCCCTTCCAACTCTGTTATTCTGTTAAGTCTGTCAGATCATTGTCAAATCACCATCTGTAGTATGTTAATTTTTTTGTTTGGATGTGTTAGATGAGGGGGCAATAATACAAATTAATGTTTTTTTCCTTCTTTTTGAAACAGGAAAAGCTGTAACTAAGAAAAAATACATTGGCATTCGAATGATGTCTCTCACTCAGGGGTAGGTTTAAAAACTTCAGCAGTTTTCTGTGAATAGTGGCTGTTTATTAATTCTTTGAGAATGTGGATTCTATGTACCAAAATATAAGTGACCTCCCAGGGTTGGTTAATCTGCTTTAAAACTAAATAGAAAGCACACTGGGGAAGCAACTATAGGGAGAGAAATATTTTACTACTTCTAAAACTGCTATTTTAGTTTTGTTTTTTTGTTTTTTAAAAATGCAATAGCACTTAAGAATGGGCAATAGGTTTTCTCCCTTTCTGAGTGCATTCTAATCTTCTGATTTCTCTTGATCTTTCACCACCTCATCTTTATCTTGTTTGATGCTGTCTGACTAAAATGAAAGTTAGCACAAAGATCCAGATCTTTTTTTTAGAATCCAAGAAAAGGGTGGGGTGTATAATAATGTGTAGAACTTTCATAAACATGAAAGCTCTTATTTCTTTAAATATACTGGCTAATATCCAAACTAAATTTAAGTTTTAATTGACTGAAACTGCCTATGCAATCACCTTTTTGGACACTAGAAATTAGGTGAGCATTGAGCATTAAAGTAGGTTATTTCACCTAAAATGGTTTATCACATGATTTTGATGAATTAAGGAATAGCAACAAAATACTGTATTTAACATTTGTAGTTTAATAAGCAGTTAGAAAAAAATAAGAAGAAACTGTAGAATAAGCTGCTTGAGAGACAGTGGCAATATAATACTTGATTTATTTACGTTGTCTCTGCACCTAAGAGATGGATGAAATAGCCATAACAATCAACAAAGGATTTTTTTTAATCAACTCAAGAATAGAAAAGTAAAAAAGAAGTAAACTTTCCAAACTATATTTGTAACTGAGAAATAAATAAAATGCAGCCATTTCATACCACATAGGGGTGTCATAGATAGGGATGAATCAGGGATCAAAATAGTTAGTAATTGATAAAGTTTATAATATTTCAATAGGGTACTGTGAAAAGTGGTCCCTCCCATCTCCTTTTTAAAAATCATCTCTTACAGAAGCAGTATATCCGAGCCGCAAAAATCCAGACTACCGCTATGTGGCACCAAAGAAATATTGAAAGCTGTAACTCTTAGACCTATTTCATTATTGAAACCAGATTGTTCACCCAACTATCACAGTGGCACTGACAAATGATGATGTGAAGGGAAGCCATAAATGCTATTTCTTGCTTGTTCATACCTGGCAAGCAAACAAGTATTAACATAAAAAAAATTGGGAACACTGTTGTGAGAATCTGAATATACTGAAGCTCTTGCTTTTCAAATCATAAAGCCTGCACTGGATAAAACAAACCTTATTTAAATATTTCTCATGAGCATTTTAGAAATCTTTCTGAATGGAAGCAGTTATTCTAAGGATGCAATTATAAGAGAATCTGGATATGAATGCTTCTTCCATTCAGTCTCTCAACCATATGTGTTCTTTATTTTTTATTTTCTGTTTTTTGCTTATTTATGATCATGATGCTATTTCATGAACCTCCAAATGTTCATTTTCATTTTCATTTTTTTCATTTTATTAAATTTATACCCCGCCCTTCTCCCGGAGGACTCAGGGCGGCTTACAGCCAGTTTAAAAACAATAGTACAATACCATACAAAATTTAAAAATGATTAAAAATAAATATTTCAATTGGCCGCTTCTACTAAAATTTTGTTAAAACCAATTAAAATACCCCTAGGCCAGTCCTGCCCGCTGAAATAACCAGGTCTTGAGGGCGCGGCGAAAGGAGGGGAGATCCGGAATCACCCGGATCTCTGGGGGCAGCTCGTTCCAGAGGGTGGGTGCTCCGACAGAGAAGGCTCTCCCCCTGGGTGTCGCCAGCCGACACTGTCTGGTTGACGGCACCCTGAGGAGGGCCTCTCTGTGGGAGCGTATCGGCCGGTGGGAGGTAATCTGTGGCAGAAGGCGGTCTCGGAGGTAACNGGCAACCACAGCCACTCAGTCTTGGAAGGGTTGAGCCTGAGTCTGTTTCTCCCCATCCAGACCCGTACGGCCTCCAGACACCGGGCCATCACGTCAAGGGCATCATCGGGGTGGCCTGGGGTGGAAATGTACAGCTGAGTATCATCAGCGTACTGATGGAAATCCACCCCAAAGCCGCGGATGATCTCCCCCAGCGGCTGTTGCAGGGATATCACTTATATTTTATGATCACCTTAGAAACGTTTTGAGCTTTAATTATATAAATTGAATTGAATTTGAATTGAATTGAATACTTTATTTGGAAAAATGTGATTAAGCATACAAGGAATTTGTCTCTGCTTCAGAAGCCCTCAGTGTACATGAAAAGCAACAGAACAACAACAATAATGTCAATAAAATTAAAATAAATTAGCATTGAATTGGGATTTCTGGACATAAGAATAAATCACATTTTTTAAAACTTGCCTCTGCCAAAAATATACTCTAACAACACGTTATTAATATTCCTTGAATATAGAGGTATCCTCAGCTTATAACCATAATTGAGCCCAAAATTTCTTTTACTAAGTGAGACATTTGTTAACTGAATTTTGCCCCATTTTATGACTTTTCCTGCCACAATTTTTTAGTCGTTAAGTTAGTAACATGGTTGTTAAGTGAATCTGGATTTCCCATTGATTTTGCTTGTCAGAAGGTTGCAAAAGGTGATCACATGACCCTGGGACACTTCAACTGTTATAAAGATGAGTCAGTTGCCAAGCATCTGAATTTTGATCACGTGACCATAGGGATTGCTGTAATGGTCATAAGTATGAAAAAGGCTCAGTGTCATTGTAACTTTTAATGGTCACTAAATGAACTGTTGTAAGTCAAGGACTACCTGTATGATTAAGACAAAATGTTTAACACTGCTTCCCTTGAAAAAATTATGTGACCCTTCCTCAAAAGAAACAGTAATATACCTTTTTAAAGAAATGGAATCTATTTCATTGGCAGCTTCTAGCCATATTGTCCTTCTAGTTTGAACTGGTATTCTCATGAGTGAATTTTACTGAAGTCAAGTTGGCCAAAATGAAACTTCTATTATTTCTATAGTAGATGTGGAAACACGAGTATATGTTCTACATGCACATACATACTGCATTTTAAATCCAGGCACATTTTATATGTATACTTCTAAACATTTTACTTAAAGCAGGTGGTAGTTTTCATGATAATCAGGCCATCTGATGTTGTAACAAGAGAAATAGTTAATCATACCATTATTAGGATTGTGGGGATGTGGATCTAATTTGATGAATGGCAAACTATTTTTTTCCCCTTGTTATACACATGTTTAATATAAATGCTAAGGTAAGTCAAATCCTTTTTCCAGTAACAGAATTTAAACAGACAATGGTTTTCTGAGTTCAGATATCAAGTAACTGCAATTTGGTTACAAAATAGAACCAGAAGCTTTTATCTTTCCCTAGTTTTATATATATATATAAAATAAGGATAAGTGTATAATTCAGATGACCGGGCAAGATAAACCTAACAATTTCACAGTTTGCATTGCAATAATAATGAAAAATACTTTTGGAATATGAACAGCTCTTGTTCTTTTTATCAATGACTTGCAGTGTATTTGCTAAGACTGCTATTCTCTTGGCTGTGGCCATTTACTGATCCAGAAAAAAAAACCTCAAGATGTGATAGCTTCTAAGGAAAGCAATCCTTTTTGCTTTTCAGTTACAGGTCAGATATTACAATGTCTCAACAGAAAATATTTTATCTACAGAATGATTTTTTTATGCATAAACTATCATATTAAACAGCACAGTAGCAAGGAATTTAAATAGTGGGGTAGGCTGATCTGGGATGCAGCAGTAAGCCCAACATTTTCTAGTTAGGTTGGCTTCACATCTCTGATCTGGACAGTTTAGAATCAGTCTGCCTTCTAAAAGGCTACAAATAGTTGCACACCACTTATGGGCAATCAGTAGACTGCAAATGGAAGACACAGTCTGAAAATGAAAGAAAATTGAAGCACTAACCTTCTGCGCTGGCATGTTAGTACCACAGTTGACATCAATAAAACACAGACAAGGTGTTAATTGACATAGCACTATCCCTTAAGAATATTTTGCAGCTCCATATGAAATAAAATTGTTGAAAAGCAAGTGTGCCCACTGCAGAATGGATTGATACCAGGCATTCTAAACCATCAGAAGTTAACAGTGGANGTGGAGTAGTAGTTAGACCTCGCCACCCTCATCGCCACTAGGTAGGATCTAACCTGTATCCTTGCCTGTGTTCGGTCGAATTCGGTTCGGCTCACCCTCCAACTGCTCTCTAGGCGTCTTTTCCGGCGCTTCATCTCTCTCAGCTCCTCGGTAAACCAGGGAGCCAATTGAGATCTGCGCCGGGTCAGAGGCCGCAAAGACACGACTCGGTCCAATGCTGCGGCAGCGGCCACTTCCCAGGCCGCCGCCAGATTTTCAACCGAGTCGTGAGCTAGGTCCGCCGGATATGGCCCAAGCTCCGTCCGGAACCTCTTTGGGTCCATCAGGCGCCTGGGGCGGAACCATCTTAGTGGTTCCACCTCCCTGCGGCAGGGGGGAGCGGTCCGGAAGTCCAAGCTGAGGAGTGAATGATCTGACCATGACAGGGGCTCTATCACTACATCCCCCTTTTCCAGATCATTCTGCCACTGGCCAGAGACAAAAATTAGATCTAGTGTGTGTCCCCCCGTGTGAGTCGGGGCATGAACTAATTGGGTCAAGTCCAAGGCCGTCATGGAGGCCAAGAACTCCCGAGCCGCCGCCGACGTTTCGCCCGCTGATGGCAGATTGAAATCCCCCATGACTATAAGTCTGGGGGTCTCAACTGCCACCCCGGCTATCACGTCGGCCAGCTCAGGCAGGGCCGTTGATACATAGCAGGGAGCCAGGTATATAATCAACAGGCCCACTTGTACCCCATGCCCCCACTTCACAAGGAGGGACTCACCACCATCTATCTGAGGCACAGTGGTCTCCCTTGGGCCTAGGTTCTCCCGTATAATGACCGCTACCCCACCGCCCCTACCCCGGGTCCTTGGCTGTTAGGTGAGCAATGGAGTTTGGGGATGGGGGAGTGGTCCATTAAGAGATACTGCTTGGCTATGGCAATTTGCTTTCAACATACAAGAACTAGCCTGCTGGTAGAAGAATCGGGATCTTATTACTTCCCCACCACTAGAGCGGTTGATCCAACTTTGTGCCATTAGCTCAAGGATGGTGTCGAGTGGTGAAACAGGGAATTTGGTGGTCCCAATGAGGTGAGAGACAAGTGGGTGAAGCCAAAAGTACCTTTGCATTCTTATTCAAGGAGCTTATAGTAGATCAGGGGTCTTCAAACTTGGCCCTTTTATGACTTATGGACTTCAACTCCCAGAATTCCTCAGTCAGGCATGCTGGCTGAGGAATTCTGGGAGTTGAAGTCCACAAGTCATAAAAGGGCCAAGTTTGAAGACCCCTGAAGTAGATCATAGGAGTAATAGATCAGACATTCAGCCCCTGATCATTAGCGGAGACCGGGTGGAGCGGGTGGCCAGCTTTAGGTTTCTAGGTGTTACCATAAAGGAGGACCTGACCTGGAGTGCTTATGTTATAACTGGTTAAGAAGGCCCAGTAGAGATTATATTTCTTGAGACTTCTCATAGAACAACAACTGAATGAAAAACTGCTGGTGACCTTCTACTGCTGCTCCATAGAGAGCATTCTAACCTATTGCATTTGTTTGTGGTTTGCCAACTGCACAGTAGCAGATAGGAAAGCACTCCAGAGTGTCATTACCATTGCCCAGAGGATTATTGGCTGCCCTCTCTTCCCCCCCCCCACCCCCCACCCTCACGGACAAACTGTACAGTTCTCTCTGTCTTAGGAAAATTCAAAACATTCTTAAAGACTCATCTCATCCCAGACATTCTTTTTTTGAACTATTACCATCTGGCAGATGGTACAGGATAATAAAAACAAAGACAAATAGGCTGAAAAATAGTTTTTATCCCAAAGCTGTAACCATATTAAATACTGCTGTATAGTGCAACATTGAAGTGGAATATTAGGGGCAGCGCAATGGTGAATAGAATGTGAAGGATGTGTGTATATAATGTATGTTTTTACTTGCGGTTCTTATTTGTGTGTAGTGTTTACTGTGGACAGCACTTAATTTCATTGTGAGATACACAATGACAATAAAGTTCTATTCTATTCTATTCTATTCTATTCTATTCTATTCTATTCTATTCTATTCTATTCTATTCGGATGGTTATGGTTGTAAAAGAATGGGGAAGGTAGGTTGTAAAGGAAACTGCTCCAATAATGGGCTTGGGTTGGTTGAACATTAGATGATTTCCCAGTTCTTAAAGCAGTGGGAGGGCAGGTTGACCTCAGCAGGAGAATAAAAATAGTTACACTCTTGATGTTGTAGAGAGTCAGATGACTTTGAGGAAAACAGGCAACAATCATTGAAGAATGAAACATTTCTTGTCCTGGGAAACAAGTAATATTCTGAAGACACTCAGGCAGCCTCTCCCTTGATTCATTGGGATATAAGACAGGGGAGTTAAAGTACAATCAGGCTTGCAAGACTGTTATTGTAGTCTATCTTAATACATTATAGTTGTAGTCTTCCTATGGGGTCTTATTCCTGATGTTGTCTATCTCAAAGGGCTAACAGTTGTGTTGATGGTAAGGAGAGAAGGATTCCTATTTGGTGATAGTACAGACTTCCAACCTAAGTGTCAGATCTTGGGGCTAAATGGCCTGATTGCAGGGTCTCCTGAACTCAGAATCCTGATGCTTAATGCCAGGCCTATTTATAACATCATTTTTATCCATAATTCATCTACTACACAAGGCAGTAGATCTGACTCATACAGATCTATCTACTGCACAAGGCAGTAGATCTGACATACATCACCAAACTTTGTCTAGCCTTGTTAGAAATCTACCTAGGCATCTTTCAGGTCCTTTATCAACCTCAGGGCCAGGGCCACTGAGGGTGGTGGTGGCTCTGAATAAAGGACATCTTACCGTGGTCAAGAATCCTACGGTATTTCAAAGATAGTTGGGTTTGAGTGCTTATATATTGGATCGGGGGAGAGAAATTTGGGATCTCGTTGGCGTAGTGATTGTCCTGATCTACGGCAGGATGCCATCCCTGAGTCCAGAAGCTAGTCTTTGGGAGGGATCTAGGACAATTTGCCACAGCCAACTCACCATAGCCAACTCGCCATAGGACAATTCAACATTGTATTAATCATTTCATTCAGTTACTTTTATTATTTTTGACCATGTTTTTGTTGAAATTATTGTAACTCTTGCATTTCTGGATAGACTTTCTTTGTTTTATTATTACTGGCCACAGTTCCATTGAAATTCATTTAACTTTTGAATTTTGAATTGTCCTGAAGCAAGTTGGCCTATGGTGAGTTTGTCCTGGCAAGTTATCTCGCAGCAAGTTGGCCATAGCAACTTGTCTTTTCTGTTCTGGGACTTCTGGGGGATATATTTGATGAAAACCCTGGTTGATGTATTTCTGAGTTCTTTTACATTATACTGCAAAAATGAAACAAAATTGCTTAGTGTTGCTCAGCAATGAACTTCTAGGCAAAATATTGTTCTATACTGTGAGCAAAAGATATTTTTATTTCATGGACAAAATTGTTTATTCCAGTAAACAAGTGAAAGATTCCCGTCTCTTATTTTGTTTATGCCTTAATAGATTTGTTAATGTTTCAGAAGCTAAATGACTTAATTATTTTTGATGCATATAAACATAGCCGTTCCTTTTATAAATCTTTTGATCATATCATTATGTTCTTACTATAAATAATCAATTGGCATTTGATCTGTTTTCTCTAGTAAAGCTAAAGAACTTAGGGAACGCTATGAAGATTTCCCTGATGTTAATTCTGGAGCCTATATTATTGAAGTAATTCCAGACACACCAGCTGAGATGTAAGTTAAAGAATTCTTGTTTTGTTTTGGTCCTAACCTTGAAGGAAAAGCACCTTGATCAGAAAAACCAATAAATACAGAATTAATATGAACAGAATCTTCTGTGAGATATTTGAGAAAACCTGCTAGATCTCCAATGCTATGATTAAAAAGCGGTTGCCATTTTTTTTTTCATTTTTCATTAGACATCTGATTCTACAAACCAATGAGCAATTCTAGCTGCTCTTATGATTGCAAAAAGGTTTCAGCGGTAGGACTTAAAATCATCTGAAGCCCATCATTGTCCATAAAGCTTGGCTTCTATTGGCACTGTTTTAGCTCTGTTGTCAGGTCACCTGTTATATATGCTTACCCACTTAGTACTTGTGCCATGCCCAGAGAGATTAGAATACAATGCAAAAAAAAGTTAAATGTTGATAAAATGCAACTCTATAATACTTTTTGTGTAGCACTGTCAAGTGTTTAAAGTGTTATACATGAGTTATCTTGAACAATAACATTATCTTCGTAGGACAGATGTGGTAGGAAAGGAAAGAAGGCAGAATGAATGAGTGACTTGCATAAAATCTGGCTCATAGAGTTCTTAGATCTTAGCTGTATCTCGTATCTATTAGCCATTAGTCTGCATCTATTGATGTTCAGAATTTATCAGGATATTGTTGAACATGCACCACATCACTCAGTTTGCAAGAAACAATGCTATTTAAGGCTTCTATAAATGGGAAGAGTTAGATAGTACTGTGTAATTTGTGAAATACAAGTCAGGAGTGACCAGAATCTGAAGCATTGAATTTTATTACTTTAATTCAGTTCTGGGGCTGTCTTGCTCCAGAATGATTCTGGGCAGCACCAGAGTTACAACTGTAAATTTCAGCTTGAATAAATCAGAACTGGAAGGTGTCTGTGGGGGCATGTGGTTGCCATGTGTCACATTAAGGCATATTACTATTCAGGTAATCTCTGTGCTTATTTCTTCAAAGGCTTAATTCTTCAAAGAGAAGTGATCATTTCTTCTTCTTTATAGTTCTCACCCCTTCAGACATAGCTTGAAAGTATTATCCCAATTTACCCTACAAACATTAATATTTAATGAATGTGTACTCCTTATTAAGCTAATTTTTCTGGAGCTGTCATACCTACAGCAAGGATGAAGTTCCTTCATTTCATACTAATGATCTCCCTGAGCACTGTAAATGGTAGGCTGTCAAGAAATTAATAATTCCTGGAAAATGCCTCTTTTGAAAGAACTGCTTATGTAAGGTATTTCTCTTTGCATGAGCAAATCTTGTGAAGGCTTTGTGGCTACATAAAATAGCTGTGCTTGGGGGTTGATTCATGTCTCCGCCTGTTAAGTGGGTTTGTCTTTCCATAACGCATAGCTGGAGTTTGCCTACAAGACAGGACAAGATGATGTGGGGAAAGAATGCTGAACTCTTCTCATTAGCTTCAGTGCCACCAATGTGAAGGTAGTCAAGCTTGATGGATAGATTTACTCTTGCTTTAGAGGTCTAACTTTAATTTTTCAGTCAGAAGAAAAGTTTGTAAAAGAAGGCCTTGAAAGTTGCAGCCATTAGATATCGTGTAAGGTTTATTTCAAGGAAATGTTTAAAATATTTTAAAAAAAGGAAATCGGATCTATTTTATTTCTTAAAAATCATCACTGAAGTACTAATTCCCTCTCTAGTTTAACAATTAGATATTAGATAAATTAAATAACAATTAGCCAAGGGTATAGAACAATTATTTTAATTTTAAATCAATGTCGTTACTATACCAAAATCTGCTTATTTTCCCATTATATATTTATGTGGCTTTTACGCTGCCTTTCAACAATTGACCTCAAGAAGGTTAATAGCAGAAATTAAAAATGAACATAACTATTTTTAAAACTGCCCTTGGAATCATATAGAGATGAAATCAATATTAGCTCTGAAGGAAAAGCATTTCACAATTTGGAATTGATAAAAGATCTTTCCAGTGTGCCTGAGAAAGTGGACCTTTATAAATAGGCCCAGTTTCAAATTTAATTTTTAATCTATCTCATATATAAAACGATAAGATTGTGCATTAGTTAATAGCTGCATTTTGTATCAGTTGGCTCTCCCTGGAATCTGTTACAGGAATCTAAAAGTATATAACAAAATCTCTCCCATTGTTTGTAAATCCTGCGCAGAAACCAGTTATGGACAGGATTTGTTACTGTCTTGTGCTTATGTAGTGAGAATTGAACCAACAAGGCAATAAAGATGGTATAGGAGGCATAGTAGGAAACAATAAGGTAAAAATAGCATCCTATATATGTTGCATGTAGTACATCCAAATTAAAGTGTAGTTATTATACCAGCTCTTTCTTTACTCTGGGCAAAACTTTACAATGAGAGTTACGTAATGATGGATTCTTTATCAAGGGATGCTTTTTCATACTCATTTTGTTTAATGTGACTGGAAAATTCCTTTCTTTTCCCAAAGTAAGCATTACAGAGTAGGATACAGTGTTCCATACTGTATTTGCCAAATAGTAGTTACTTGGATTGAATTATGATTCTCATATCTTGAAGTATCTTGATATAGAAAGCAGTTGGGAGTCTCTTATTAGGCTAATATTTTTTTTCTTGTTTATTTCAGAGGAGGCCTGAAAGAAAATGATGTGATTATAAGCATTAATGGACAACCAATAATCTCTGCCAATGATGTCAGTGACATTATCAAAAAGGACAGTACACTCAGTATGGTAGTACGCAGGGGGAATGAGGACATTATTCTAGCAGTTATTCCTGATGAAATTGACCATTAAATAGAGACATGAGCTGGATTTCATGCTACAAGCAGGCACTGGACTGTTTATATTATCTCTGTGCTGGTACAGAAAACAGTAGATTTTGACCAACTAGCCAACTATGTTTAGTGATATTGTATTGCTGAATAAAGTAATTTTCCAATAGATAAAATGTTGAAGATGATACTTCAGCTATTTTTACAGTGTGCTCTGTATTCTTTTGTGGAGTCCTTGGTGCTCTCTGAGCTAAAATTCAGAAGAGACAATAAAAAAGCTAGAAGAGACTAGAACACATCTTCTCCAGCAGCTACACCCAGATAAGCAGGGATTAACATCAGAAAACTAATGAAGCAGAAAATAATATCCTAACCAAGGAACTACTAAGGAGAAAACTTCCTCCGCTTACACAAGCTGTTGTATATAAACAAAGAGCAAAGTCCAGAGTCAGTGGCACTGATGATGTTATCTAGTCATGTAAGAAACATCTGCAAACAAGCATCCAAACTAGAGATCACCAAGGACTACACAGTTCAACCTGAGCTCCATATGTTATTTTTTAATATATTTTTACTGGCTACTCCAGCTGTTACTACCACCTTAGTGTTCATACGTTCTAATCTACAAGTTAAACCACCTGTAAAACATTACATTGCAGTATTCCATTTTGATTTTTCCTGAAGTTACGTTAACAATATGAAAATATTTGAAATAAATGACTTGTATGCATGCAAGTCCGGAACCTATGCTGATTTTCTTTTTTAAAAAAAAACTACTGCAATTTCATTAACGCATTTTCATTTATATAATATGTTATTCCTGATAAAAATTTATTCCATTTTTTTTCCAGACAAAAGGTATTTTGAAGCTGGAATACAGACCATTGATTTTACTATATACTATGTAATGCACATGCTTATTCTATTAAGCCAATGCTTTTATTCACAATTTTCACATAAAGGAGCACATTACTGGCCCTTGGTAGTTCCATCCAGGATGTACTATTGTGGATATAAGAAATATAATAGGCTCATGGTCTACCCTTTTTTTCCTGTCGTTATTGTACAGGATGTTCTCTAATTGAGTTGACTTTTACATAATATCAAAGGCCACTGATTTGCTTCATCAGCAGCCTAACCTTAATAGATCAATGTGAAGTCAGCTGATGGTTCATTCCAGATCTGTGAGCTACTCATGTGCTTCCTCAGTCAATGCATAATAACATAATCTTCCAAAGTCAATGTACTGAAATTGGAGAATTGCACAGCTTACATTGACAATTCTTCATACCACTAATCTACAATTTTATAGAAAGACAATTACGTCCCAAGAATCATTAAGTACTATGATTGTGCAAATATATGAAAACTTTCTGGGAGAAAACCAGGAATTACTAGTCTATCTGAAGATGATTAACTGTTGGAAAGAATTCTGCAGTGGAATATTTAATCAGTCAATACAAAATGACTAAATTAGTAAATTATTTTGGCTTGCTAATGAAAACATTTTTGCAGGAGCTTCCTGAATTTATTTTTTCAAATCTTGATAGTCCCTGCTTCAAGCATTCTCTTTATTATCATTTCCAGCTGGGTTCATGGCATATAATCTATTTAGGCATAAAAGGCTCTGTGCCTAGGACCTACAAAATTGTTGGGCATACAAAGATATTGTTAATAAAAAACAAAAATATGAAAAATAACAATAAACTCAAAACCCAAACTGTATGTCCCATCAATAAACATAAAAAATTAATAAAAATGTATCTAAGAGATTGTTTCTCCTTATTTACCACTTATTTCCTGTGACTTTCTGAAAAATATAGATCCATGGAATATCTTTATAACTCTGAGGATCTGGACTATTCACACAATAGGAACCCACAAGATCAGTGTGTTTAGGCCCAGCAGAGTTACTTAATATAGCCCTGACTGGATTTGTATCTTTTCCCAAGAAACATGCAATAATCTAAGGAATGCTGTTTAACATCTACAAAATTTATAAATGTACTTGGGAAATATTTAAGGCAAACACATCTGGAATATAGATGTACTATAAAAGTTTAGAATTCCTAAAACAAAATCTAGAAGGCAGTTGATGTTGAATCAATGAAAATGACGAGACTGGCTAAGGAGTTAGGATGAGGAACTGAGTGAAAAAAATGGGAGAAGTCTCTAACTCTGTGTCTCAACCTTGGCAGCGTTCAGATATGTGAACTTCAAGTCCAAGAATTTCCCAACCCTAAAGGTTATTCCAAATTTTGCCTCCCTGAATTTGGTTATTAAAAATGTTCAGTAATCAGATTTAGCCTTAATATTATATATTATTGATATTCCAATTAATTTGAAGCTTACCTGCGAAACCAAATTGTGCTTGATCCAAAACCTGTAAATGGAGGTAAATTGAGTGTTAAGAAAGAACATGTATATCATTAAAAAGGCACAACAAAGAATGTTCTTCCTGCATCAACTCAGAAAGGTCAGATTGCCCAAGGATCTGATGATACAGTTTTATAGACAAATTATTGAGTTTGTCATTTGTACCTCTATAACAGTCTGGTTTGGCACAGCAACCAAACAGGACAGGTAACAGAATTCAATGGATAGTTAGGACTGTAGAAAAAACAATTGCAACCAGCTTGTCTTCCAATAAGGATCTGTATACTGCTCAAATCAGAAAGAGGGCAGAGAAAATATCTACAGACATCTCGCATCCTGCACATAACTGTTTCAACTTCTTCCGTCATGACGCCGCTATAGGCCATTGCATGCCAAAATAGCTAGACACAACGATAGTTTTTTCCCCTATGCCATCACTCTGCTGAATACCTAATTCCCACAGCACTGTCTTAGGCCTAAAGATATTTACCCATGTAGTAGGCTGTATTGCTATAATCCTTGTCATCTTCTCATCTTTCTCATCTCATCTTTCCTTCTATCTTCTCCTATTAGTATCTTATGATTTATCATATTGTTTGTTTCTTATGATTAATGATTGTAACTATGATTTATGGTCTATGACCTATCACTTTGTTGTTTGTATGTACACTGAGAGCTTATGCATCAGAGACAAATTATTTGTGTGTCCAATCATACTTGGCCAATACAGAATTCTATTCTATACAATTTTAAATCATCACCATCACCATCTTTCAAAGAACTGCAGGACTATAGATGATGCCCTTCTGAGAAGGGATTATGGCTCTCTGAGAAATTCTTGGACTTTTTTGGACACATTTGAAAGCTGTCAAGCTGTCTAAATCTTACAAATGTGCCTATGGCAAGGAAGCAGCATTTTCTCTGCTTACAAAGCTTAAACCATCCAGACCATATCCTTGTGACCTGAACCTAAGGCAGAAGAGCTTATGCCCTATTGATAATTTGAACTGTGTGCAACTGTTACTTCCCCTGAGTTTGATCATTACAGAATGTTCAGTAATCAGACTGAATATTATTATGTATTAATTTCAACAATGTTACAATTAACTGTAAAGTTACCTGGCATTCCAGTTGGTTTCAATTCAGAATCTGTCAATGGAGATAAATTGAGTGTTCATAAAGAACAGGAATATACAAGTTTAAATCATTATCATCATCACCACCATTATCATTACCTTCACCATCATCTTTAAAGCAACTGCAAGGCCCTCCTAAGAAAGGACCATAGGTCTGTGGTTGAGAAATGCTTCACATCAGAAACTTTCTGATGCACCTCTTAACTGATTTAAGTTAAAGATGAGACAGCAGGTGATCAGTGTAAAACTTCTGCTTGAGTCTCTAGAAAATCCCCGCCAGTCATAATTTATGATGGTGGGATAGATAAACAACTGATCTGACTTGTTGCAGCTCTTTATATTAGGAATTAGCTTTTTTACAGGATCAGTCCTGCATTCCCTGTAGGGAACAAGACTCTTATCTCTCTAAAAATCCCTGTGAAAGAAATGAACCCAACCCTTTATTACAATATTTTAAACCTCCCATTAATGTGAAAAATATGCTTCAGCTAAGATTTGGGGCATGGATTTCTTGGAACAAAGAAAGGAAATTACCAAGAAAGTAGCTCCAACCCAACTAAAATCAGGCATGATTTGTTGAGAGTAATGATGCATAGCTTAGTCATAACTATTTGTTGTTCCAATAATTTTAATGAAATTTAGTCATTGTTTAGTTAGTTAAGACTTATGTGGTTTAGGTTAAAAAAAAAAAAAGCCTGGTTAGTTTTTTAGAAGAATCAAAATTCTAGCCTCAATTGATTTAACAGCAAAGCAAACTTGCTAGGAAGGATTACTTTTATTCAAGGCAACATGATGGTTGCAGCTATGGAGAGTTTTCTGAGATCCCAGTTAAAAAGTGTTCAAACTGTTACCAGTGTTACCCCTTTCTGGATCGTGACGCTCTACGCACGGTCACTCAAGCCCTCGTTGTTTCCCGCCTGGACTATTGCAACGCTCTCTACATGGGGCTCCCCTTGAGGTGCACCTGGAGGCTCCAGCTAGTTCAGAATGCAGCCGCGCGGGGGATCCTGGGGGCCTCTAGATACTCCCATGTAACACCTCTCCTGCGCGAGCTGCACTGGCTGCCTGTGGCCTTCCGGGTGCACTTCAAGGTGTTAGTAACAACCTTTAAAGCGCTCCATGGCAATGGACCTAGGTATTTGCAAGACCGCCTCCTACCAAACACCTCCCTTCGACGTCAGGCGAGGGTGTCTCTCCGCCTCCTTAGGGTGCCGTCGGCCAGACAATGCCGGCTGGCGACCCCCAGGGGGAGAGCCTTCTCTGTGGCAGCTCCTGCCCTCTGGAATGACCTACCCCCCGACCTACGTACAGTTGCGGACCTGCGCCTTTTTTGCCGAGCCCTGAAGGCCCATCTATTCCGTGCGGCCGGCCTGGCATAGTTTGATTATGTTTTAGTGGGGGTTTTGTATGGGGTATTTTTAGAGCAGGCCTGTTATTTAATTTGATTTTAGAACAGAAACTTGCGTATATTTATCGTGATTTTTATTATCGCCTGTTCACCGCCCTGAGTCCCGTAAGGGAGATAGGGCGGTATATAAATTCAATAAATAATAATAATAATAATAATAATAATAATAATAATAATAATAATAATAATAATAATAATAATAATAATAATAATAATAATACCACAAATAGCTGCCCTTGGGGCTTAATGTGCAAAACCTGAAAATTGACATTAATTTGAGAAAGATCTGTTGGCAGGAACTTTTATCATGCTCACAGTGTAATTCCACTGATTCCATGTGTTTTGTTCCAAACAATTTCCGTAAAGCAAAGAGCTACAAAGAAATCTGTGGATTAGATAGTTGCAAACTAAGGACATTTACTTTGAACAAAACCCTTTTTCTGATCCATCTCTAGAAAACCCGATAAGATATTAACAGAAGCTCATTGCCAATGAACCAAAGATCAATTTTAAACAAAGAGCAACCAGAATTTTTGACAGAGAAAACAAAAGCTGAATTGCAGCTGAATATATCTGCCAAAGAAAGGAGAGCTACTAGTAATTCATGATGCTTTTCTTAAAATTAAATTGCATTTTAAAAGTTACCGAAAAAGAGAGACTATTTCTGAAGTTATTTTTAAACTTTTTGCATGCACCACTTAGTAAATGAAATTTTGAATTAGTTTCGAGAAGATGCATGATGATCAGCTATGCACTGTGAATAATTTATAATAATAAACGTATAAATTAACCTTGTGAACTCTCAAGCTTCCTCCTTCCATTATACA